ATGTTGCACTTGGATATAGAATCCAGACAGACAGCTTCTGCAGGGCCAGCAGATGGTGTAATGATTACATCACTGGACTCCCATATAGTCGGCCGCAGTTCAAGTCCCGTACCCAGCAACTTAAAACTCACACTGGGCGCGTGTGCACGCATATGCTTAAAATCCTGAGGAGAATGGAGAGGAGATTGTGGCATGACCATCCCCCATAAGGGGTGATTTTTTGCTTTCTATCTCTCTGTCTCTCTTTGACTCTTCTGTGAGGGCATGTGCCCTGTAAAAATCTCTCTAAAAACAAAAAAATAAATAAGTAAACTAGAAGCAAATGGAAATCCACTGTGGTGGAGGATAACAGCACCATTCTTTGCTTTGAATGATTAATTTTTTCTTTTTTCTGCTATAGACTGTGTGTGCTTGCCGGAGAGACAGAGTGGAAGTGAGAAATCACCCCCTCAGGGGGACGGCCATGCTGCAGTGCTTATCCTTTATTCTCCTCTTGGGATCTTAGGCATGCACATACATGACCTGGTGTGACTTTCAAGTCACCAGGTCTGGCACTTGAACTGCCTTGTCGTCCATATGGGACCCAGTGCCTTAACCATCATGCCACCTGCTAGCCCAGCTTCAAATAATCCTTAAAAACATTTTTCTAATACAGTACCACTCAAACATTGAGGAAACAAGACTCTGTAAAGGAGAACCGAAAGAAACATAACCATAAAGACATTAAATATTGGCATTAAGAGATATAAGTATGCTAATTATGTTCAAAGAAATGACTTGAATGTAAGTAGGAATGTAAATGATTCAAGTAATTAGGTTCAAATAAATATAAACTCTAAATTTCTTTTTAAGGTTTTTGCCATAGGGCGCATACACTCGCCAGAGAGAAACAGAGAGGGAAAGTGAGAAATCACCCTCCTGGCGGGGGATGGCCATGCTGCCATCCCTTCTCCTCCATTCTCCTCTTGAGATTTTTGGGCACACACATACACACCCAGTATGATTTTCAGGCCTCCACATTTGGGACTCAAACTGCAGTAGGCCATGTGGGATTCAGAGCCTTAACCATCATCACACCACCTGGTGGCCCCTAAACTTGACACTTTTTTAGTAGAAAGCATGGAAACAATTTATGGTGACAAAGGAGATTTGAAAGAAAACCCAGGGACCAGCAGTTAGCGTAATGGCTATGTCGCTGAACTCCCATGTAGCCGACCGCGGTTCGAGTCCTGGACCTGGTGGCTTAAACTCACACTGGGTGTGTGTGTGTGTGTGCATGCCCAAGATCCCAAGAGGAGAATGGAGGAGAAGGGATTGTGGTGTGGCCATCCCCCCTGGGGGGTGATTTCTTTCTTTCTCTCTCTCTGTCTTTCTGGTGAGTGCACGAAAGAAAAAAAAAAAAAAAAAAAAACTCAAAAAAAAAAAAAAAACAAAGAAAAGAAAACCCAACAAAGTCTAGAATTGAGAAATATTAAATGATCTCCAGAAAATATGTGGAAGTATTTACACCACAAAAATTAGACATTTTTTCCTCCAGAGAGCCAGCAGTTAAACATTTCCCAGTATAACCACTAGCTGAAGCCACATACATTTGTCATTTTGTAGTTCTAAACTGGTTGACAATGGACAATTTCATATGGCTCAACCTGATATTAATATCGTTATAGAGGGCTAGCTCATGGCATGACAATTAAGACAGCTGAATCCCCATGACCAACCTCACAGTTCAAGTCCTGGACCCCGTGGCTTGAAAAACATGCCAGGTGCATGTACATGCACCAAAAATCCCAGCAGAAGGGAGAAATGGAGAAGGGACTGCAATGTGACCGTACTTCATTGCAAGGGGTGCTTTCTTGCTCTCTCTCTCTCTCTCTTTCTCTCTCTGGACTAGCACACACACTCTCTGGAAAAATAATGTATGTATTAATATATAGTTAGTGAAAATCATCTTCTTCATCCATAAAGCAGGGCCCATTACAGTCCTTTTTTCCTTAATTAGGGCAAGAATATGAAGTGATGACTCTCATATGACAAGACAGGTCATCCACTTGGTGGCAGGCACATTCCCCTGACTACAGTGCTCACAACCACTCTGTAGGTTTTGACGGTGCCTGGAAAGTAAGGACATGCCAACCCCAAGGTAACCACTGAAAGTGACCTCGGTGATGCTGTCCCCCCACCCTGGCAGAGAGTCTGATGACACTTCCTAGGGCTCGCTTTAGCCCGTTCTGTGCTGCTTGCATGTGCTGCTTATAGGATGCCTTTGAATTCCCTTCTCTCGACTGAGAGGGCCCTTCTTCTCGGCTGCTAGCCCTTCCTCCTGTCTGGTCAGATCTGTACCGCCTTGGAGGGAAGACATGAGAATGGATCTCACCCAAGAGCCCCTGCCTCTTCCAAGGCATTACATGCTCCAATTCTGGTCTGACTCTGTCCCCTTTGTGGTTATAACCCAGGGTTTAAGAGTCTGACAGGTTGGGGACCAGCAGTTAGCGCAATGGCTTATGTCACTGAACTCCCATGCAGCCGACTGCAGTTAAACTCATGGTGGCTTAAACTCACGCCGGGCGCATGTGCGTGCGTGCCCAAGATCCCGAGAGGAGAATGGAGGAGGAGGGATTGTGGCGTGGCCATTCCCCCTGGGGGGGATTTCTCACTTTCTATCTCTCTGTCTCTCTCTGTCTGTCTGGCGAGCACGCACGCCCTATAGCAAAAACCTCTCCAAAAAAAAAAAAAGTGAGGAGTTATCCAGACCTGAATTAGCATCATGACTCTGTTACACTCTCACCGTGTGATGGGGGGGCAAGTGGCTTCGTGACTATAGCATGGGACCTATAAGAGTCTCTACCACAAAAGGGACAAGAAATACTACAAAAACCGGTCAAGGGGAGGAAAAGAGGATACTTCCTAGAGTCACCCTCTATCTCACTGTTTTTGCTGATGGCATCCTCACTGTCCTGCTATATTGGGGGACCACGCCCTGATGGCTCAAGTCTTCCCAGGCTGCATTTCCACAAACCAAAGAACTAATAACGTAGTTCATTTTTACATTTGTAACAGAAATAGCTGAGACTGGGTTCATTTAAAATGGTAGAGAGGTTTTTTGTTACTTATTTCTTTTAGGTGGTCAAATAAGTTTAACTTAAGGCAACTAGGTTTCATTCTTTGCTTACCTTTTTCTCATCCTAGTATTAGTTAAGATTAGTTTTCTTCCATTTAATTTTGGGTTTCACTTATTTTTATCTCACAAATTGTGAATGATCTGGAATGTATCTAGGGGTACGTGGGGGCAGGCGACCCCCAGAGGTGGTCACTTGTCATGTTCCAGCAGTTCAGGGCTCTTGCATGTCCCCAAGCAGCTCTTTGAAGCTCCAAGGAACCCCCTTTCCTGATCTAACCGTGCCTGAGACAAGGCTCCCAGGAAGCACTAGGCTCACCCCTCGCTGTGGGCGCCAAGGAAATCCCAGCCTCTCCTTGACAGAGCATGGCAGCACAGGAGGGTGGACAGGCGACACCTTTTCCCTCCCAAAGTAAAATCCTTACCCTGCCAGGCTGGGCTCTATGACCATGGAGTAGCCCTGAGGATAGGGGGATTTAAAACATCTTCCCCTCCTCATCAGAGGGCCATGCCTGCAGAGGTGTACCTGTCACTCAATAGGCAGGACCTGTGTCGCCAGGCCAGAGGAGGCGGGAAGCAGGTGCAAACACACGGACCGTCTTCTCTACGGCTGGCTGAGGCCGGGAGAGGGACTGTCGTAACAACACAGACGAGTTCCTTCATCCCCTTTAGTTATTCATGTCAGCCATGGCTGGGTCTCACCGGGCAAAGGCCAGTTCTAGCCACAGGTATTCGGGCTCTGTCCCATCGTGCACACTTCGGAATTCCAAGTGCATAAGTGAATGAGTGAATGGATAAGCTCATCACCCCCTCTCAGAACCTTGTATGAAGCAGCGCTGTTTGGACTGTACAGCAGGTGTAACTGAGGCTCCAAGAGGTTTAGTGACTTGCCTGAGACCACACCATTGACCTCGAGTGCTGCAACCTGCGAGGCGCGGACCCTGAGTGGGAGCACCGGTGACCTTGAGAAAACATAGAAGCTTAAGTAGAGAAAAGCAGAGATTAAGAAAACCAGGTGTCTCTGATAGAGATACAGCAGCCCTGAGCCCTTCCCAGGTTTATACTTTTAAAGGGGGCGGGAGAAGCAGAAGGTAAAGCCAGGTGTTTTCCATTATCTACTGCAGCCTGGAACATCTTGCCCCTTGCAGTTCTAAACCAGCCTCCCCTGGCCTTCTCTGGATGAAACATCCTTTCCTTTAAGCTCCACCGGAAGTGCAGCATCAGTCCAAGGGAGCGGGTCTGTGTTTTTGCTCCTTTTTTTTTTTTTTAAAGAATTATTTAATTTGACACCAGCAGTTAGAGTAATGGCTATGTTGCTGGACTTGCACATAGTCGACTGCGGTTCGAGTCCCAGACCTGGTGGCTTAAACTCACGCCGGGCACATATCCATGCGTGCCCAAGATCCCGAGAGGAGAGCGGAGGAGAAGGGATTGCGGCGTGGCCATCTCACTTGGGGGGTGATTTCTCGCTTTCTGTCTCTGTCTCTCTCTGTCTGTCTGGTGAGCGCAGGCACCCTATAGTAAAAAACCTCTCAATAAAAAAAAGAATTATTTAATTGCACTTATTATTTTTTAATTTGACCAGACAGAGACCGAGAGAGAAAGGGAGAAAGCAAGCTGCCAAGTCTGAGATTCGAACCGCGGTCCCCCATGTAAGAATACAGCCCCTTTATCCAAGTCACCTGCCACCCCTTCTACTCATCTTTAAAGGTCACCATTGTTCAGCTGAAATTCAGCAGCTCCCTGCACTTCAGATGAGGAGCTGTCTGAGGGCTCTGCCTGCCCGTCCTCCCACCTACCCCTGGAATCTGCACCATGACCAGGAAGGAAAATATGAGAGAACTTTATTTCATATTAAAGTTGAGGAGAGGACCAGGGGCTGGCTTCACAGGGTGACGGAGTTCGAGTTCACGCTCTTGCTGCTACCGCTGAGCACAACGTACGGACTCTTCTGGGCCTTCTGCTTTTCCTGGAGCAGAGCCACGGTGCCCAGGGGTGTGTCACTGGAGCTCATCTTCTTTAGGAGTCCCTCCTCATGCAGCTTCTTCATGCGCCGCTCCGTCTTCATCTTGCCTGAGCCCTTGCCATGGAAACGATG